GCCTAGTCAACTCTGCTCTGCTCTCTTCTAAAGTCTCTGAGAGGTCTGGCTCTTACGGTTTGGGTATCCTAGTAAATCCTTAGCAGGACAAAGCATGCCCTAACACTGCATCCTTGTTCAAGTTTACAACTGGAAGCAGAGCTTGTGGTGGGGAGGTGGAGGAAGCCATGGTGGCTGGAGGTGGTGGTATGACAGGGTCAGGGCCTGGTATGATGGGGTCAGGGTCTGGTACAACAGGGCTGGGGCCTGGTATGATGGGGTTGGGGCTTGGTACGAGGGGGTTGGGGCAAGAAGACATGGACAAGCATAGGCCTGAATGAGATATATCCTCTGGAATGGCAGGCAGTGGCAACTCACAAGACTGCAAGTGGGACACAATGGGCATGCTCAAGCTTTTTGCAAGTGCAGATGGTGAAAATTCAGATCCTACTGTGGCTGATGGCAGTGCTAAGTTGCAGATGGCTTGACTATTGAGAGAGTCTTGCTCAAATCTGTCTGTGGAGGGTTCACACAAGATCTGTGGTGTTGGTAGTGCTAGTGGTGTTCTGTGATAAATGCTGACATCTTGAGGTGGTGGATTGGCCCCGTAAAAGTTACTAAAACCAAAAGAACTCACCATTTACCATACCAGGGCTTGTAGCAGCATTGGACATGTTCAAAGGCCCATAGGCAGTTAAAATAAAACTTGGTTAAATCTTTTCAGTACAAGATAAAACTAATACACACCAGAGTCAGATTTCTCGAGATCAACACCAAAAAAATCATTATTACCAGCATGTGGTGACTCGGTGGCATCATGTTTCTTGGAGTGACTAACAACTAATAATTTCAAGTCCAGGTCAGCACCCTTCATGCAAGATAAAGCATTTAAACATTACCTGGGTCAGGTAGCACTGGTACCAGATTGTCAGGGCCAGCAGGTTCCTTGCTTGGGACTGAAGCCAAAGGTTGTGGTTCTAAGACTGAATAAAATGTTATCATTGAATTAGAGGTTAATCATCAAGACACGCACCTTTCTTGTGCCGTTTTTGTGGTTGGTTATCCTCAAGGACTGTAACCTCAACCTCAGACTTGTTGGAACTGGTGGTGTTGATGGTTTCCTTGGGTTTATTCTTTGAACCTTTTGGTCAACCAACAGGGTTCTTGACTGGCTTGCCTTCCATGGGAGGAGGTCTGGGCTTGTTCTTGGTCCCTCATGGTTGTCCAGGACGTTGTTTGGCAGGTGGCTTAGCTTTTGCATTGCCTGGCTCCATTTGTCAATTATTTTTGGTGTTGATGTCCATGACGTCCATGACACATGTCAAAGTATTTGCTGGTGTTGTGTCCTGAAGCTGTTGCCTCTTAGATTATGTTCTAAAACAGGTAAGTTTTCAAACTCAGTTAGGTCCTAACATCTCCACACCTATAGTTAAACTGCCAGTTAAACTGTCGTACTCATGCCTCTCCCCTCCCTTGCGCTGCTTTTCCTCGCTTACATACAGCTCATTAGGTTTGTCCCCACTTGCTCTGCGCTGCTTTCCCTCACTTATATACCACTCATTAGCTTGTTTTTCTTTGCAGTCTTGTTTTCTTTCTCTCCTGCCCATACCACTTACCCTTCTTCTTAGTTTTCTTTTCCTTGCTACATTTCATTTGCTTTGCACATTCTCATGGATTAGCTACATTTGCCCATGCCGGCTTGAGTTTGGCCTCCTTTTGGGGAGTCCGCGCAAGAGAGCTTGGGCAACCAAGCATCAACTTGTTTGCCCACAACTGTACCATAATAAGGCTCCCTTTCTCCATCCACTCCTCCTCTCCCTCTCCACACGAGAGCCTGGCATAGAACATGAGTCAGAGCGAGAGGCATCAGAGCATACTCAAGATAAGAGTAAGTGGTGCCAACAGTGAGATGGCTGAGCTGTCTAAGGTGCCAGACTAAGGATCAAGGCAGTTGCTGTCTATCTCTCAAGGTTCAAAACTTGGATCATCTGGTCTTTCCTTTCGGGGCATGGATTCGAATCCCACTCTCATCAGCCCTTTTTGCGGCCCCCAATGACACCCACAACACTCCCAGCAAATGTCGAGGGACAGCACTGATGCTGTTTTTGCGCGGAAACGATTTTTTCTGCAATTTTTGAGGCTAGTATGGACTACTAGAGGGTGTATGCAAGGTTCGGATGTAAATATGACATTCCTGGTCGGTTTTGGTAGAGCTCGTGTGTCGTAAGTGGCAAGGGTTTGAGGTGGAAAGAGCTGCGCCACAGTCACGTGGAGTTGTGGCCATCATCCAGGCTTCTAGGAATGCAAGTTCTTGGAATCAATTATTTAACGTCCACGCGCTGAGCTCGTGTCACTGGCGAACCGACGTAAGCTTGCATGAGAGTTCTCCCGAGAAAACGAAGATTTCGATGTAGGGTAAGCGTATCACAGGGTATCATGCATCTGGCCATTTTCGATAGACGTTGCCGCGTTTCATGATTTTTGCGTAGCTGCTGGCCGACCCGTAGCAATATCACAGCGCGTGCTCTCTCCACATTGAGGCTTCCGTGCTCGTCGGCAGTGACCTGAGTTCGTGATACACTCGCGGTGGCGCATCCTTCAACTGTACATGTTTGCATGGTAAACATCAAGGGGAACTTCGGCCGAAGAGAACATGCACCAAAAATAAACGGGCCGCCACGGTGCTTTCCGGTGTTCTTCGTGATGGCCTGTAGTTGAAGGGACTGCCCCAGACACCACTGTGATGTAAACGTGCAGTCTACGCATTCGGCCAGCATTCAGATAGGTGCAGAACCTGACCTGAACTGTATATGGCGCCCATGAGTCGTTTAAAATTCACATCCGCCGTTGGAGTGCGATGGAGGGGGCGCACCGCGTATAGGGGGCGCCGGACTTAATTTGAATCAAGGAATGCGCGAACGAAATGGGACCTTTGGTCGTTAACTTAAGGATGCCAAATGCATTGCCGCATAAGGGCCGAGGAGGAAATTCTTGATATTGCGAGGCTATGCTACGGATCTTGACCCAGGTGGAGTCCGGGCCTAAAGTGCCTTCTGCGCCAACATAAGCTCATAAATATCCCAAGTGGATGTGAGCAGTTGTTCCAACGCCTAGATTTTGTGATTAATTATTAGACCCACGATCATCCCCTTCAAGTTCAGGTACATGATGTTTCTTGACCTGTGATGCAATGGAGACTGTCAGTAACAAATGTCGCGACACGGTCGGAGGCCGCGACGTTGCATCTTCGATCGGATGATTGGATTACAAAACGTGGCAGAAGCCTGCTGGAACCTCTTTTGTTTTGTCTGCAGTTTGTATCTTTGCCGGAGTCCCAACAGTGGCAGGGTCGGCAAGAGAAGAGGAGGTTCTCAGAAGTAGACCACTGTTCGCGATGTGTAGAGAGGACCATTGAAAGACAAGCCAACAAGAATAATGAGACGACGGTTTATATTCATCTCTAGCGAAGATCTGACTACCCAAATTGAAACATACATCCAATCTATGAACGAATCACGCGGGGTCGGTTGCGGCAATGGAGTCTGCGAAGCAGGAAGTTTAGGTCTACGCCTGAATGGAGGGAGTGAAAGAACGCTTACGTTCAGTCGAGCTCGTTAATGCTGCGGGAATAAATCATTTCCTCGAGATCGCGCGAAGAGAGGTCGTACTCGTCGACGAGCCGCAAGGCAAGCTCTTCGTCGATGTAGCGCGTGAGCAGCTCATCGTCAAAGTCGCGGGACAGCAGATCATCCTCGAAATCGCGTGTGAGAAGCTCATTGTCGAAGTCGCGTAAGAAAACCTCTTCGTCGAAGTCGCGGGTCAATAGGTCATCCTCGAAATCGCGCGCAAAGAGCTCATCGTCGAACTCGCGAGCGAACATCTCTTCATCGAAGTCGCGCGCAGAAATGTGGGCGGCCGGGGAAGCAACGGAATCATCATGAGTGGTCGCCAATGGAGTAGAGGCATCGGGTGTGGTGGGGTGCGAAGTCGATGGAGTGACTTTACCGGTGTTCGCGCCCTCCTTGTGCGTGTTCCCTTGGCCACTGCCTGTCGAGGGGGTGGTGAGGCGGTCTCCACTGTTGTTCGTGCCCTCCGGATGCTTGTTCTCCTTCCTCTTTCCTCCATCCTTTCCCTTGCGATCCTTCCCCTTGCGATCCTTCCCCTTGCGATCCTTCCCCTTGTGATCCTTTCCTTTATGGTCCTTCCCCTTACGATCCTTCCCCTTACGATCCTTCCCCTTGCGATCCTTCTTCTCCTTGTGATCCTTCCCCTTTCCGCCGTGCCGCGATGGTTTTACCTCCCGCTCAGATGCATGAGATGCAACGTCGACGCCACGAGTGAACAAGTCGTCATCGAAGTCGCGGGCATACAAGTCTTCGTCGAGATCGCGACGGTCACTAGGGCCCTCCTGTGCGTCGGCCTTGGGAGCCTGTGCGTCGGCCTTCGCGGCCTGTAACTCGGCCTTGCGGTTCTGGTATTTGGCCTTCAATTTGCTCCAAAGACTGCGTGCGTCGAGCTCGTCTTGGACAGTTCGGCTGAAGAGCTCGTCGTCAAAGTCACGTGTAGAGTGGAGAATGGGCTGGGGAGACGAAGACGAAGAGGTGTCATGATGCGGTGGAAGAGAGTCGGAGTGGGAGGGCGGAGAGAAAGAACCGGGGATGCTAGAAGAGCTGTGAGTCGCAACCGTGTTCGCGGCCTGCTTGTGTGCGGCCTTATGCGTCCCGTGCTTCTTCTTCTTCTCCACCTTTGCTTTCCTCTGCGCCGACGTCAAAGACTTCTTGTGCCCCTTCCTCTGCTTCGCATTCCCGACGCGCGACGGCGTCAGAGGCTTCTCGTGCCCATGCTTCGCATTCCCGACGCGTGGTGACTGTGGCACGGCGGCGTGGACCACGGGTTCGGATGCCGTGGATGAGGTTAGGGAGGAATCAGTGGGTGTAACGGTAAGGGCCGCCTGATGGTTGGCCGCCGGGGCATTCTTTGCAGGCGCAGCGGCGACAAGGGCGGCTCCACCGATGCAAGCGACTAGGAGGGCTTGAGAGTACTTCATGATGAGAGATAGAGAGGGATTTGGGGGTGTTCAGACCGGCTGTTGGGTAGGTGCGTTGGAGTGATTCTCAGAACCTGCTGAGGATGGGGAAACTTACTTCGAAGAACGGCCATTCTTATACGAGGATGCGCCGTTGTGAGGCAGTGTTGATTGAAGGACCGTAGCTACCAGCGACGAGAGCGGCTGATCACTGGATAAAACGGGTTTCATGTCAGGATCTTTCTTAAAATAGGCCATACGTCCAATTTCAATCGTACCCCGGTAGGACCCACCCAAGGCTCAAGCTGCGTCCGCGCTTGTAAAAGTCAATTGCTAACATCAACATCCAGCCAGGACGATGAAACCCTTTCACTGCACTCAAATTGTAAGCTCGAAAGGTGCATGGACCGCAGGGGCGGCGTGCGACGATAATACGAGACCGACCAACTTGTTGCGAACTTGCGGAGCACTCATCGACGTGCATCAAAAGGAAGCGCCGACATCGCCGTAAACAGCCGATGCGGTGAGTGTCTTGATGTCGATGCACTGATGCGGTGCAACTGGAGCCTGTTACACTTTGGTTGACGACACCATTCATCACCACAATTGAAAGTTCGCAATCTGATGGAGTGGTAACTTACCAAATTCGCAAACATCGCAATTGACAGGCGCTTGAAATTCGATAAGTTGCGTGCTGATTAACACTAAAAATGCTGAAGGATTGCATTGGTTGAGCGCTCATGGTCCTGGCTCGAGTTTGAGGGAGATGAGTAGCAAGAGTGATGTCGGCCCTCGAAAGTACAGTTGATTCAACTTGATCCTGTCGATGATCAAGCTATCAGAATCAAGGAAAATCTGTAGAGCAGAAGTACATACTGACAAGTGATGACGGTGAATCGACACAGCCTCGGTACAGCCTGGGTGGCGTCATGCTAGAAATGATGTGGGGTTAGTGGTCCGGAGTGCATACTTCAATTGAATTCGAGGGGATTGTATGCCAGACTAAATATCGGGAATGAGGATGTATTGATCATGCAAGAAGTGGTACAATGATCTGACTGGAGCTAGAAGCATCATCGTCAGACGTCAGTTGCGGGCTCATCCACAAACATGTGGCGACATCCTCACCTCGATAAATAAGGGAGTATACCCAAGAAAAATCGTAAGCGTGTAGCCCATAGAAGGCGTGGTATAGCAACATGGAAGCAGGACTCCTCTAAGTTCGGTCAGAAATATGTAGCATTCCGACATGGCGTTGCTAAAATGAGAGATCGTCGTCATCTGCAAGGCAATCCAGATAATCCTACAGGAGGATCCTCAGGACGCAAGACGATTGAAGTACAACGAAAATACTTACGTCCAAATTCACGTCCTCCTTATTGACGCTCATCGCCACAGGCTTCGCAGGGAAAGGAGGCTGGGCCGTGACTGCCTCGGACCTTGACGTAGTACCTCCATTCGGGACAAGGTCCAGTGCTTTCGCTCGCTGGGACGCAGACGGCAGATCTTTGAGACCCCTCTTTCCCCCCGGACTCGGAGGCGGCGAGGTCACAAAGAACCCGGCGCCGTGTCGTCGTGAAGGCGAGTGAAACCTCCGAGACCCAGGCGCACTGGGTGGCTTCCGCGAAGGAAGAGCAGGATGCACGTCCGTGGACTCGTTGATCGGTGAATTTGTTGAGGGAGAAGGGGAGAATTTCCTCGACAGACGAACCAAGGGTGAAGGCGCCGGAGCAGACGAAGTCGAGAACGGTACCTCATGGCTGACCTTCCTCACCTTCCGTGGAGCCTCCGTACCCTGGGGGAAGGTACCGTCCAATATATTCAGTATTTCGGGACTGCGGGTTGCGTCTGTCCGCTCTCTGACTTCCTTCTCCAATGTTATCCAGTTCCGCTCAGCCAAAGGAGGTAGACATGCACCGAGGTTGGCTTGATAGTCCGCTCCATCGTTGCCTCGGTCTCCGCTATGGCCTTTGACGTGTTGCAATACAACCTTTTGGCCGATCATGG